CTCTATTCTATTCCATTGATCTGTGTGTCTGTTTTTGTGCCTATACCATGCTGTTTTGGTTGTTATAGCTTTGTAATATAGCTTAAAGTCAGGTAGTGTTATGCCTCTACCTTAATTTTTTTTGCTCAGGATTGCTTTGGTTATGTATGGTCTTTTGTTATCCCATATAAATGTCTAGATAGTTTTTTCCATTTCTGAGAAAAATGTCATTGGAATTTTGATGGGGATTGCATTGAATCTGTAGATCAGTTTGGGTAATATGGATATTTTCACAATGTTAATTCTTCCAATCCAAGAACATGGGATATCTTTCCATCTTCTTGTGTCCTCTTTAATTTCTCTCAACAGTGGTTTGTAGTTCTCTTCGTAGAATTTTTCACATCCTTGGTCAGCATTATTCCAGAATAGCAAGTTACTTAACATTTCTGTGCCTCAATTTTCTCTTACTTACTATGTGACCTCAAGCAAGTTACTTCATGTTTCTGTGCCTCAATTTTCTCTTTAGAAATGGAGGTCACATTGGTATGTAGCTCATACAGTTGTTACAAGGATTGACTGAGTTCATACTTGTAAAGCACCTGGATTTATAATGTATGACACATAGCATTCAATGAATCTTTATTATTTTCATTTCTTTGTCTCCTCGTGCTAGTCTGTTAAACTACATTAATATGAGTAGGTTTAAGATACATTTGAGAGAAGGAAGTTGTTTAAAATATTTGCAAAGTATGAGAATAGCATGGTGTTTTTCATAAAAATCCTAATCTGGTTGGAAAACTTAGTGCTGTCATTAATGAACAATTGTAATAGATATCAGCTAATGGTGAGTATTGTCGTGTGTCACAACCATACCGTGCCCTTTCTACTGAGTGTGAGAAACCGAAGGAACAGTGAGTAGGCACTCCAGTTTTGTAGTAAAGTGTCATGGTATTAAGCACAGGACATAAGGTTGTTTTTAATTCATCTCTGCTATGCATTAAATAAATCAACTGGATTTTAATTGGTGGTGTGGAGATATGGAGGCAGGAGTACCAGAGGTTAGTGAGAATCTGTTTGGTGACCAATTTAATTCATCTGATGATGAGGGGGGAAGAAAGTATAGACAATTATTTTAAAGGGAGATTTTGGTTTTAGTTGTTCAAATAATTAATGAAATATAAAGTTATCTTCCTCAGGAAAAAAGTTTACACACCTCATTTCTTCCACTGCCTCAAAAGTGTAAACAATAAGTTTTTAATTAACATGTAGTTTTTCTTCCCTTTGTTTTAGGATCAGATTTTATTAAGACCTCTACTGGAAAAGAAACAGTAAATGCCACTTTCCCGGTAGCTATAGTAATGTTACGGGCCATTAGAGATTTCTTCTGGAAAACTGGAAACAAGGTATATTATTGCCAGCAAATCTTTCATCAGAGTAAAGATAATGTTATATATAATACTAGTTCCAGCCACGATAACTGTCTTTATATGCAGAAGGTGTGAATGAGTTACCTTTAGTAAGATAAATGTTTAATTTACCTTTCATTACAAAAGAACGCATTCGTGGAGAAAAATGTGCTATTAGCAGAAAGTGAGGGTGAGTGTGGGAGTGAGTGTGTGATCAAGATGTAAACTCACTGTGTCCTTTTATTAACCGAAGACAATTTTATCACTGACAAGAGATTCCTAAATGGGTTCTTTAACGAACTAATTCTGCTGCAACACGGAGGCTTTCTGGCGAGGCGTTGGCCAGCAAAAACAGGTTAATGCAGAAATTAAACTTCCTCGAGGAATGGAAGGAATTGCAGAGTAACATTTATTGAATGATAAGCTGTGGTGGTGATATGAAAAGTATGCAATATAATGGGAAATAATCTTTTCCTGTCATTATTGAAGGACACACATAAATTGGTTTTTCTGTTGGGAAACCCCCGGTCCAGAAAAACTTATTACTTTTAATAATATGAGGTGAAGAGAAAATTCTCGAGGAGATGAACTTATTAAACAAAATAATGAAATGCTGTGAAACAGCAGGGAAAAGGTAGCTAGACGTTATATAGCTCTTGAATTAAATATCCATTTTTGCGTTTTATGGCAGTGGATGTGCTCTTTGGAAGACTGTTAAGTTGAGGAGGGTATATGCTAGCTTTTGTCAGCTTTTCGAAAAATAATACATATTTTTTGAAACATATGAAATTAAAAGGGAAAATGCGTACGAGGTGTTTTTTGAAAATGAGTTTGGGTTTTTTCCTTTTTGCTTCAAGTAGCTTGTTTAGCTGCAGATTCTCTGAAAGGATTTTTTTACATAACTGGAGAGAACAGGTTTGTGTGTGTGTGTGTGTGTGTGTGTGTGTGTTTGATGAGACTTTTCCTTCTTGAGAGGCATCTTTTAAAACCAATGTCTTGATTTCTGCTGAATAGAAACCCAAAAAGACCTTTAATCCTTTGCTAACTGGAGGTGATGACTTTATATGTCACTGTAGCTTCAGTTTATTTTGGAATAGGAGACTTTTTTTTTAGCATGAACTAGTTTTTGAAAAGAAATGAACTCTGTCCAGAATTTTCTCCCTCAGAATAACTTCACGTCTTGAGTACAAATAGGGTAAATATCTGTTGTGACCTACATGTGAAAGCTGACCCATCTTGAGTAACCTCTACTTGATAGCCTTTCTGCAATGATCGAAATAAGTTAAAAAAAATTTTTTTTTTAAGTTGTAAAAATGAGAGCAATGATCCAAATAAGTTAAAAAAAATTATTTTAAAAAAAGTCGTAAAAATGAGAAATGTATCTTTGGTTTTCTCAGTTGAGACCACATCCGCTCACAAGACCAGTGGTCTCATTCTCAGCCAAAGAACATCAAATTAGATGTGAAGCCTGAGCCCCTGTCCCTGGCCATTCTGGATCTGGGGTCATCCTCAGGCATCAGTATTTCCATAGCCTATTGTCAGGGTTAAAACTCGCCCTTGGGGACCCAATCCTGTTCTCAACAAACATTTATTGAGTTGTTAACCATGTGCCATGGTAACCTATGTTAAATGCTAAGAACACAGAAACGAACAAGTGGCTTCCCAGGAAAGCTCTTTGACAACAAGCAAAGAATTACAGTGAAAGTTTTAAGTGCTCAGTGTTCTGACCAGAGTACAGAGGGAGGGACCCTTTGCTGTCTTTCAGTCCTTCCTTTTTAATTGTATTGATTCTTTCCTTACACAGCTAATGACAAAGTCGATCCTAGTTTTATTAAGAAAAGGACAAGTACATGTCAAATTGTATTCATTTAATCATGTTTGATTTCAAACAAGGAGGATCTGTGAATATATTTGCAAATCAGGTATAGCCTTCTGGGTTGTTGACAAGTTGCCTGGGTAGCCCTTAGACTGTAAAGTTTCTACATCATTGATTTAAGGGATGTTTTAAAATGTGATAGTCTGCCTTCTAGACCATAATTAGTCTCACTCCTGAGAAGCAGAGGTTTAATATTTCAGAACTGATTTCATTGTAGATTTATGTTTTCCATATTCTCTCCCTTAAAAAAAAAACAAAATGAAAGAATAAACTAATGCCAGAACCTCTCTTTGGAAACATTGCCAAACAAACTTGCTGACAGACACTACTCCCTTAAAAAAAAAACAAAATGAAAGAATAAACTAATGCCAGAACCTCTCTTTGGAAACACTGCCAAACAAACTTGCTGACAGACACTAAAAATCTATATGAAAATCTATATGAAGCACTGAATAATTGACAGAAAAGGCCCTTTAATTAACATGTATGCTAATATCAGCTGATTGATTTTTTTTGCCCTCTTCTCAACAAATAACCTCATCCTACTTTCCTGCGTATTTGCTCCCCTCCACCCTTACAGTCATAGCTTGGACTCCAGAGTAATAGCAGATGTGGTTAGAATCCCTGCACTGCTACTGCTTAGCTGTGTGATGCTGTGGGTAGGAGACTTGTACTGATCCTCCTTTTGAGAATTGATGAGGGTCCAAAATGAAACAGAAGGGAGAGTAGAGAGGAAGGTGTGCGGATGGGAAGTGCAGAAGTTGAGGAGGTGGGATTGGCAGGACTTGATACGGATTGACTGTGGTGTGGCCAGGGAATGGCGGAGTTCAGGTTAGCTGGGAGGTTTCCTGCTTGGGTTGATAATAGCACCATTATTTTATTGTCTCTCTAGCATTCTGTTAACAATCACCTTTGCTGGTGCTACCTGTCAGACCAACAGCTCTGAGTGATAAAATGCGAGCACTTTAGTACTTGGGATATGGGGTGGTGTTGTGACTGCTCCCATCTGGAGAGTCTGTACTGGATAGCTAAGTTCCCAAAACAAGCAAATCCAGATAATCTGGGTTTTACTGCATATGAGACATATTTTTCCTCTCCTAATGGATTCAGGAACATCATTTATAAACATCAGATATTGGCTGATTGGGCTGTTTTGTGGTCATCCCTTAAAGACTGCTGAAGTACGAAGTACCCTCTATAGTGTCTTTTTCTACTGTGGCTGATGTAACTGGTCTGCCTGCTTGATAGGACACTATGTACCTACAAGTTGCAGAAAAGTCCCTGCAGTTAAGTTGATTAAAACAACTGTCGACTCTCCTTGCCATATTGCTGCAAGTTTGGTTAGGCAGACCTTGTGGCCTCCCTGATTCTGTCCTCTTATTTTAAATTCACATTTATTTCTTTTGAAGGCTGAAAGGTGACTATACAGACTTACTTGTAGAAACATAGCGTGAATGGGCTTTTGTGATATGTTTTCCTATTAGCACCGTATTGTTTATCCCAGGTGCACAGCTATAGTCTAGATGGTTGAGGCTTATGACTTTCCAGTAAGTGAAATGTTAATGAGGGTTATTAATCCTCATTAGTGTTTCCCCAGAAACAGAGACATTCTTCCAAAAATCTTGGCAAAGTTATTTTGTAGTGTGAATGGGAATGAGTCAGTGATCGAAGCTCTTGCTGGACGAAGTGAAAAAGACTTTAGGAAAAAGAAAAAGAGAGAGAATCAAGAGTCTGTATAAACACAGTGCCATTTTTTAAAGCAACCCAGTCACATTGTTCTATTTCTGCCTTTCCTTTCCAGATAGGCTTTAAACCAGCAGGAGGCATCCGCAGTGCGAAGGATTCCCTTGCGTGGCTCTCTCTTGTAAAGGAGGAGCTGGGAGATGAGTGGCTGAAGCCAGAGCTCTTTCGAATAGGTGCCAGCACTCTGCTCTCAGACATTGAGAGGCAGGTGAGTGATAATCCACCGTCCTTGGAACACATTGACAAGTGTTTTCGAGAAAGAAATTACAAAGTCAAGTCTAGATCTAGAGATGAAATCTCATCTGATTTACCTCATCATACCCAAACCTCAACCTTTTTTTTTTTTTTTTTTTTTTTTTTTTTTTTCC